GGAATCTGGATGTTCTCCAAAAATAACCAACACATGGTCAGAGTCCAAATCAGCTTTACTGGTCCTCAGCTCTATGACACACACACACTCACACACACACACACACACACACACTCACACACAGTGCAGCAGATGAGAATGCACTAAATCTGGATCCTGCTTCTTAACTACAGATTCATGAAGACGTCGTGCACGTTTTGGGGACAAAACTTAATCCTTTACTCTCAAACACACAGCTTTGCTTCCCCCACCCTCCTGCACTGTGTTGCACTGGAAATCTGCTCTAACACACAAGGCGTTAGATAACTGTCTCAACATGTCAGCCACTCGCAGATCTGTGACAGCTTTACATGGCCTGGTGAGGATCAGTAGTCATCGCGTAGGGGGTAGCGGTTCAAATTCGATTTTTCGTCCTGACAGGTGTTGTTGTGCTGGCAGTAAATTCAGATGCAAGTGAGGTGTGCTGTACACGAGTTGAATTAAGATCCCTCCACGTGATTTCGAAATCTGCATCCGTGTCTCGTTCAGCCCTGCTTTCACAAGTCTCAGCGGGGAAGAGGCCTCAGAGTTTTTATTTCATCTTCCACTTTTGTAGACTCCGGCCAAAGAAGCTTCCTCAATGAAATTGTGTCCATGTCAGCTCATGAATTTTGAGGAGGAACCCTGCATAAGCTAAGACGGCGCCTTTTGAGTATTCAACATGAGTCCGAGACATGATGCTCTACAATCCCACAAAGAGACAACCGCTGACCATCTCGTCGTTATGAATTCTGTCCACATCCAGCCATTAGGCTGTTGGTGTATCTCTAAAGCCTGTTTGGGTCTCGGCGTTGTCTCCCCGTTGCTTCCTAAACCCCGTTATACTTGCTTGAGGTAAGAGAGAATGACGGCAGTCGTGCTTCCCTCCCGGCTCGTCTGCGAGACTCTGACACTAAGCCCATTATGCTTCCATTATGGGGCTTCAATTTTCCTCTGAGCTTTTCACTTCTGACACGGCAGCTCCCTCCCTCCTCAAACCGCAGACTCATACCCCCCAAGGCCCAGTGCTGCACGGCCGTTCAGTTAGGAACTTCAGTACATTTTTAAAGTACCAGCCCTGATTCTTATTCAACGGCAGTTATTTAAAATTGCACCAAGATGCATAATATGACAACGTTACATGCAAGCAGGCGTCAACAACAAAACATACGAGACAAAGCTAACTTTGCACATTTATACTTCAGTAATGTTTTAGGGCAACTTTAATTTGACAGCAAAGTAATTAACACTTATGAGATTCAGCGTCTTCCTCAAGAAGCTGACATGTGGCTGCAAAACTAGTGAGTACAATCAGCCACATAGCAACACAGCAAACCATGTCATTTGTAAGATGTTATTAAAAAAGACACTAACACCACATACATGACAGCAGTGTAGCCTTGCATGTACCTGAGGTGAGGCCTAGCATACAGTTAGTGGCCGAGTTGGCACCCACCTGTCACACCGGCCCAGACCCATCTTTAACTAATTTGGCGATCATGTGGAAAAATAAAATCCAAATGGATTTTACAGGGAAAACAAAACCGTGCTATTCCTAACTGTGGGAAACTACTGCACAGTCTTCAGAGGCAGATTCTGGGGCGATTTTTTAGTTTCAGGGTGAGCCAGCAGGTATTTATAACAAGCATTATTGTCAGCATTACTGACACCTGCATGCAACCAAAGCCTCCTTAATCCCGACTAGAAACAGAAACCCAAACTTCTTGTTCCTTGGCTGATAAGTGTACACAATTTATTTACTATTTATTTATTCGTCAGTGCAGAAAAGCGTAGCTGGGATGTTGAGGAATTATAGCGTCATTCTGCACACTGCCTCTCCTTTACTTTCTCTCTCCCGTAAAAGCCATACCATGTTCCTGCTTTGGCCCGCTCTTAATGCAAGCCTTTACCTCGCCACAGCCCTTCCTCCATCTTTTCTTTATGCTGCAGCACGCCCCCCTCACCCACTCTCAGCAGCAGCGTGGTTAGGAACCCAGCAGTAAGCAAAAATCCCCCCGCTGCTGAAACACTCTCCACTAATACCAGATTGGTTTAGTGGTGGCTTGGACTGCGCTCGTGTGAGTTTGTGCAGGTTTGTGTGTCCTCCACTCTGGTGCCTATGTGTAGTTTGCGTTGATGAAGAAGCGTTGCCACTAACTACCGAAACCAAAAAGTTGATGTTTAAGACTTAAGGCGGCAAACAGAGGCTTGGTTCTGTGTTACATTCGAGATTTTTCTTCAGTACAGCTACACGTTGTCATCTACCTGATTTGGCTACCTGTAACCTATCGGATTTCTGTGGAGTGGAAAAGTCCCAGTTTCACATTAAAACAGCATTGAGCTCACAACCTTGAGGGTGTCATTGAGAGGCCTCCGTTTGACTCCAGCTCCTCTTTAAGACTCACTCCGTCATGCTGCGGATCATTGTTCACTGCAGGCTGGATGAAGTTGTTTGGGGAGAAAAATGTCCTGTCTCAACGCTGCAAGATTGACTTTCGGTCTGAAAACAAATCCTATCTATTTTGCATGTTAATTTATTCCCTTTTGCTTGAGAAGGGAAAAAAAACCGTTTCCTTGAGGAAGTTTGTAATAAAAGCCTTGCGATCGATGATAATGGCATTTGTGCTTGTGTTTGTCATCTTCGCAAAAGCAACAGTGGTGGAGTTTCCACAGATTTATTTGTATACTAGTGCTGTAAGTGGCGTGTAAATTATCCTAACTGTCTGTGTGGCTCTTTATCTTTGTAAGCCAGTACTATTAGACCCTATCCATTAATGCCCATAACCCAGCCAATCAATGCTTAAATAAAAATCAGCTCAATTTGTAGCATTTTATGCAAACGTGCAAACTCCAACCAGGCTGACTCTTTGCTTTTTGTTTTTATAATGCTACAGGAATAGCTAAAACACAAAGGAATCGATATCACTTACGTTTGGGTTGTGTTGGCCTGCTCTCAAACAAATGCTGCACGTTGCTGCATAGAAATGAGTTTCATACGGATGTACACTGTGCTGTAATTTCATTATAATTCTATACATGCTGCGCTTAGCCAACACCATAGTCACAGGGAGTAAATCCATTGTAACTCGTGAGCTTTTATCAATGCAGCAGGAACTGCATGTGTGTGAGTGCCAGTTACAACTAACGACGCTGGGTTCACTGCACTGACACGGAGCCGACACGGGACTGTTTTGTGTCATTTCATGGTAGCGTCTCAGGGGTGACGGCGCCGATCGTTCTGTCTGCTGTTTTGGTTGAAATGTGTTCAAAACGTGAATTTTAACAATTTTGAAATCAGTGTCTATGAAGCAGCTCCAGCGTTACTTTATGTTGCGCATGTCTTAGGATGCTTATGTGCTAAACTAAGAAGGCCTCTGTCACACCCTCACGTTTCCATTGCAGACTCCTGCTGGGACTCACTGTTATTTTCTGTTTTCACGTTAAGTACAGATGAAAATGTGCAGAGGAGGCTTTTAGGTAATAATTACTGCAAGTAAAATTTAATTTAATAACGAAATCCTTTTTTGTAGTATTACGGTCATCTTAGGGTATTTTTTTACTGGCCTCTCAGCATATTGTTTATTTACCAGCTCGACATGTGCGAGCACGCTGCCTGCATATGGATCATATTCCCGCTTTGCCTGACTACAAAGCACATTTGCCTATATTTCACAATTAGTTAGCAGCTCAGGGATTAAGGGTAGATTTGACAGTGCAGTGCTGCAATCTGCTGTTGTGTCTCTTTAGCACTGAGAGGATCAGAGAAATAGCCAGCGAGCATCTGTTTCTGCACTTGTTTTATTTCTCTCTCCGGCTTTCTTTCCTTAATCTCTCTTCATGCATCTTTCTTGTCACCCCCACCCCACCCCCCACCCGGAGAGCGAGAGCGGAAAGCAGTATCAATCACTGTTAACTGACTGACCACTGTCTGTTGGTGGTACTAAATGGATCCCCACAATTGAATAGAGGCCTAAGTGTGTGGTAAATGCTCTCAATGGGTAAATGAATTTGCGGGTTAACTCGCTCTAAGAGCGTTTCAATAAGGCAAAATAATAAAAACACCTACAGCACATATTTTTCTTTTGATATATTAAAAACAAAGTCCAGCTGAAAATCTTAAGTCTCGCATTCATCACCGCAGGCCCGGAGTACGAAAAGAAAGCAGCCGAGCGTAACCCAAACACAATCCAGCTTTATTTTCCTCATATAGATTTGACTGTACACAGTTCAGACCATTACACAGAAGGCATAAATGAATAAATTCAGTGCTCTCTTTTACATCTTTTTCAAAGACACATGGCAATAATAAATAGCGCTCATGAAACAAGACGATCAACACGTTTTCAAACTGTACAAAATTTACAGCAATTGAGATGCAAAGTTTGGAGGCAACACAGACTGAATGAAACTGTCCTGGTAATATGTTTGTTATTTCATTTAACTGTGAAACTTCGATAGAAGCTCAAACATTACGCTGTAATTACGGTGCACTCATCCTGGGGGTAACAGATGTTTACTCATGGTTGATGTGGGTTATAGACTGCATCCCTTTTTTAACTGTCACATAATGAACAATTGTAATGTTTTACAGTAGCTCAGTAATTTAAAACGAATGTTTTCATCTCGAGTACACTATTCTTCTTTCAAAACTTTGTCCACGTTGCCTCCAACTGTCATTTCTAAGTGATAAATGAAATAATCAAATATGAGATCTTCCTAAATTTGTTTTTTCTGTAATACATTTATTCTTCGTTGTTTTGGAATTTAACTAACTGTAATACATCTAAATGTTACCCCCGTGTTACACTTTATATAGTTTTAATTTTATCAGCCAAATAATTACGCTGTAATTTTAGAGCTGTAACCTTGAGATCTCTGAATAGTGTCACTTTATATTTCTTTATTTGCTTCCTGGTATTGAAAACACTCGTTTTTTCCCTCTTTTCCTTGTTTGTTTTTTTTAACAAAAGAAGTACCCACATGAATAAGACTTTGTTTCTCTTTTGAAGCAGATATCAAATCTTAATGATGGTTCCTGCATGCTCAGCAGGTCAAGAATCAGAAACACCGAATCTGTTTCAGTTGTTGTGGGTCTTTAAAGATGCAGCTGTGGGAAATGCATCGGCCCGGCAGTCGTGCCAGCACTGATGCTAAAGCATCAGCCCTGAATGTGGGGGACTATCGGTAATCCCTCTGACATGCAGGCCAGGCAGTGGGAGAACAGGCTGACGACACATCTGGGGTCAGTAAGTAGGTTGATAGCAGGCAAAGCTGCACTGAGTAGATTACCAAGAGGCGCCTGGATCAGACTGAAGAAACTCAAGAGAGTTTTTATCTGTGTTCCTGCTTGTTAGCATTTTAAGTGTCAAATTTACGTTTGCTTTTCAACGTCTGCAAAAGAATCTGCATGTGCATACAAATGGATAAGATGCGGGGCGTGTTTAGCGGTTAGAACTGAATATTTCCAAACCGTATACATGTCTTGACTTTGCCTTAAACATATAAGCTTTTTATTCCTGGCGAGTCTGTGTCTGAGATAATTTAATACTGACGGACGTCTGCTTCCAGACCAGCTTTTACACAGATGACAACAAGTCCAGCACCTATAAATATAGAAGAGAGATCTGCTTTGTAGCAAACAGTGATCGCCCTCATTCAAAGAGGGGAGACATAAACTTCTAATGAACAGACGGACGGACAGAGGAAAGGACGGGCAGACCAACAGTCATAATAAGTTTGAGCACTATGTTAAAAACAAAAAAAGCATCAGCGTGGTTCAAAATTAACACTTGTGCCGCTCTTTTTTTGTAAATTTCTCTCCCAATGAAACACTGTTTGTTGCCTTGTGCATACGTCTCTCCTCCTTTTCTCTGTCCACACGTGTAGAGAGACGAGGAGAGTAAAGTGCATCGCCAATGTAAAGGCTTGGATGTGGCTGTACGGCAGGCCTGCTCAGTATGAATGAGAAGCATGCAGGTGACTCCTGGGTTTCGTAGGGACTTTGATCTGGATTGTGTCGCCCTAATGTTGTGTGGTTTATTTCAAGGGATGAGACGTTTCTCCCCTGTGAGCATTACTCCACCGATATATTTGAGATCCGGTCTCACTTTCAGAGAGTGAACGAACAAAACAAAGTGTAAAAAACGATCGTATGATGCAGAGTTGACTCATTCTGTGCGGAGGCGTTCTCGCTGCTTCCGCTCAGACTACATATCTCGATGGCTACCTCACCAACTACGACTGCTGCGGGACTCTCCCTTCTCCTCTTCGCCCAACATCGCACCCGAAACATACCAGCAGTGGACCGTGGAGAGCGATAGAAAGAAATGTAAAAAGCCTTCTGAGTCCACTTTGATGTTTCCCCACAGTACTTTTTTTTTACCATGTCTGAGACTCAAAACTGGGAATGGTCCATCTCGTCCAGCCATGAGGCGGGGCTGGTGGGGAAGTCAGGGTATCCCGTACTGCTCCCTGTGGAGAGGTCTGAGGTCGGGCCTCCTGCCATGGCCCTCAGAGCCTGTCCCACACCACCCGGCCCCCCCTGTGCCACCAGGCTGTCCATGTTGAAGCTCAGGTTGTTGAGGAGAGGAGTGTGGCCGGGCAGAGAGGCGATGGAGGAGGGCGACTGGGGGAGACCGTAAGGGCTTCCCGCTCGGATGTCGTGGTAGGGCTGTCCCGCCGCGTCGACGGAGAAGCCGCCGTTCAGCGTGTTGGTCACATCGCCGACGCTCCCGTAAAGCCCGTTGGCGTGGCCGAGATCTGACAGGACCTGGTCGTCTGCAGAGGAGAAACCGTCACTTAGCACGAGGAGTGTAAAAACTTTGAGACATCAACAGCGCCGTCACCTGTGCGAGCATTATACAGTTGTTATATTTCAATACAGTTAAGTGCTTTTACGAGTCAGATTTATTGTGGCAGATTTCATGGAGGTACAGTAAATGGACGAGCCACTGAAGTCTTTGAAAGGCTTTTCGGTTCTCTTAGCGAGAAAGTGAGAAAGGATGCTCTTTCTGCTTCATCTCTAACCGAGCAATTACTGCAGCACAAAATATTTGTTTCCATCTCGTCCCTCCCCTGGGTGGCTTCAATAACAACAACGCCCCAGAGCGCTTTCTCTCTAATTGACTAAAAGCCTCACATGCTTTATAGAGTTTCTGTCACCATGTTTTCATTTCTCATAAAAATAGCCTTCTTTGGCTTGAGGACTTTTATGACTACCAAAAACGGGGTGTGCAAACATTAAATAACATGGCATGTCTAAAACGCCGTTTGCATCCCACTAAGGACCCTCTCTCTTTTCCAATAAGCTCCATCATGGTGACAAACAGAGGCAGGAGGATGCGTCAGCAGCCACAGGGATGTGTGACGGGAATGTGAAATGAGAATGCCATTTTGGATTTGCCCGACTGCGACGCCACGTGTTGATGAATGCTAGAAAACAAATGAAACGCCACAAAGACACTTCCAATTGCCGCGGCGCTCGTGTCATTTAGCAGCTTCTAGGCTCCCTCGATCCCATTAGCACGGCAGCATGACGGACAGTTCCCTTCAGGGATCTCACTTTTGAGCAATAAAAGCTGCATACCTCTGAAGCTCAGCTCGCTGTCGCTGAGTCCTGCGTCGTCAGCTGAGCTCTCCTTCTCCACTTTAGTTCCTCCTCGGCTGCGTTTGACACTTTTATAAAACTGAGTCCAGCGATGCCGCCCTGCGTCTTTCTTCAGACGCTTTTCCTTCGCTCGCCGGTTCTGAAACCAAACCTGTGGAACATTTTATTTATCGTTAAGTGCAAATGAAATTATGAAACACTCTCTGAAACATTATCTCCAACTAATAATAAATGACAACAGGCACGATACCTTCTTAGTCTGACTTCAGCCTCGGCCTTTGTTTGACGCAATATAGCATCACTCTTTATAAATGTGTTTATTTGCAACCTGAGCTTTTAAATTCACAAATAAACTCATCAAATTTTAATTATCTCACAACAGTCGATACCAGAAATTTTAGGTAGGAAAACAAACGCATGACACTAAAGTGAATGTGTGAAAAACATGTAAGCTTTGCACGTGGATTCTCAATAAGGTCTGATCTTTTTAGCTCTGAAACACTCTAAAATACTAAATATGCTCATTTACATTTAAAATTCAAGTAAAATGCATGTGAATTATGTTGTTTCCACATATGTATTTGCTTTTTAACATTTGTATCAGCACTTGAGAGGCCGGGATTCAGTGATTCCAAAGTAACTTGCTTCATTACAAAAACTCGATCCCAGTGAGTCAGCTTTCTCAGGGACCTGCAGGATATAGCCAAAATACTCTACCTGCACCACTCTCATGTCTAACCCCGTCTCCGATGACAGCTGCTCTCTGACGTGGCGTGCAGGCTTCGGCGAGTTTTTGTAGGCACTTTTGAGGGTCTCCAGCTGTTTGGCGGTGATGGTGGTCCTTGGTCTCTTGGTCCCTGCCTCTGAATCATCTGAAAACACCACACACACGAGCGTGAGTGACTTCTTCCTAGATTTGTCATGTTGCCTCAGCAGGCACTGCCCTCAGGCCTTCACATTGAGCATGTCTGTGCTCAGTGAAGTGAATGGTCATGTATAGAAGTGTTTTATTGTCCTTGTGCATCTGTCCCACTCCCACAGCAGAGGACATAAATCTATTCACTGCCGGAGGAATGGAGTGATTGGAACAGCACCATATAAGAGCATTGCTTCACTTTGCATAATCAATCAGAGATGCACGGACATCTGAGGAGAGAGGGAGGGAGAGAAGCAGCACACACCCACAAACAAACAACACGGATCCACCGGCAGGAGTCGTATTACCGCTTTGCAACTTTATCCATGATTCATAGTGTTGTGATTCTGGTGTAGTTAAGTGAAGTCATCAGCACTAAACCAGGTGGATAAAAACTGCTAAGAGTTATTGAAACATCTCTTTTTTCATATTTTCAGTAAACGCTCGTTGTAGCCTAACATCGAATGCTCCTGCACACCTACCATTTTGTTTGGCGGCCTCGTAATCCACCTTGCACACCAGCCTCCCGTCTTCCATGAGGTAAAACTCGTCCCCGGTGGCCAGCTGTCTGCTGCACATGATGCAGGCGAAGCAGTGCAGGTGATAAACAAAGTCCTGCGCCTTCCGCACAACCTGTGTCGGCGGGATGCCCTGCTGACACGATGCACATTTTGTACCAAAACGTCTGCAGGAAAACATGAAGGAGAGAGAGAGACGCCATGAAAAAATTTGTAAAACGCCGGCAGGGTGGACTGATGGAAAGAGTGCGAGCAGCTGAGATTAAAATTTCACACACTACATGACTATTTCTTCATCTGCAGCCAAGAATGATGGCACAGTGTCTGTATTAATAGGAACTCCAGCTGCTGAGGAGGGAAAAACCATCCCTGGAATGTGTTTCTGTTAACGGTAGATCTGCCAGCAGACTGATAGATGGACTGGATCAGTGCACTGTGTGGGTTTGAGTGTGCATCTGCATGTTTGCATGTTTATGTGATTGCAGATGAACTACTGACAGCTCTAGATGAGGAGGAGGAAGAGTAAAAAGAGAACAAGAAGAGGAAGAGGAGGGGTCCTCACAGTAAAGACACCCCGAGGAGAACCAATAAAACACTGACTCAGGAGAGGCTTTAAATCACAGCACAGACACACAAAAATAAAAAGAGCAAGGTGAGGCCTCCAAATCACCTCTGGGAAGCAAACACCAGCAAAGCTATGTGTATGTATTATTTAGTATGTGTGTCTGTGTGTGTTTGAACATGCCCCCACCAGCACTGCCCCCTGGGTCACCTAACACAGTTAGCTCCCAGTGAGACTCCGGAGCTCTTTAGGTCTCTTTCTAGCTTTGAGCATTAAAACCTTTCAAACATGATTTAGTAAAAAGCCCCAATATGCCGATCGTGTTATGGATAAAAGTCAAACTCAATTTTCTCCTGCAATGCCTCAAACATCCAATTGTTGAAAGAATAAATGGCAACTAGACTGTGAAATAAAGGGATTTTTAATCTTTCCTACAGTGTGACAGAGCTGCCACTACACTGGGAATCAGGCAAACTGTGCACATTATGAGGGCAACCAGCATCACACATGTTCGGTCACAACAAAGAGGAAAACCATCAACCCAAGCAAACACACCTGCAAGCTGTGTTTCTGTTGTTCTTCATAAATTAGGGGAAAGTGGTGAATATGTATTATTAAATAATTAAAGGTAAAAAGACAAAGGTTAGCCTAATACACATGTATGGTACGATGTTATATTGCTAGCATTTTAACCGTGTTAGCAAACGGAAACCAGTCGGTTGCAATACTAAATGCACCGGAACTATTACAGGTCACAGTCGGATTTTTGTCAAGGAAACTTGTAATATTTGTTAGTGCTGCCCTGGAGAAAGGCTGGGCCAGTGCTCACTCTGCAGGAAACAATCCACGCGGATGGTAAGGGGAGAAAGCAAAGGAAGAAGCGCACTTACTTGAAGAAATCCTCCTTGCAGTAGACGCTTCCTGCCCGGGAGAAACATTTGTCCGCCAGCGGTGTCTGGCAGTCGGCGCACTTGAGGCACTTGGAGTGCCAGTGTCTGTCCAGCACCTTCAGGATGAACTTGTCCAGGATGTGCTGACTACAGCCTGCACACTGAGGGATCTCTGTGACGGAAACAAGCGCAGTCCCGCGTAGTTAACAGAGAAGCAAAGAGAAATAAGCGCTTTACGCGAACGAAATTCATTTCGTTTTACCTTTACAAAAACAACAACAAAAAATGAAATGACATTCATGGTGACGGAGAATTGTTTCGCACATTAAAGCAGGTTTTCGGGGTTTCCCCTAAATCTGCAAGCCTGTAGTTTAGTTTTAGACAATAAACTCGGGTTTCACTCATATTTCCGTGTAGATATAATAACAATGAAATCTGGAGATTATGGATGTTTATTTTCTAAAGGCCCGTCACTTTTTTTAAATGTTATTTATTTTGCTTCTGTTTATGTATTTATTTTATTTTATTACGACTTATTTTGCTGTTGCTATCACAGCTAAACAGGACAAAAAATATATAAATTTCGCGTATTTGTATTGTCCGTCTCTGTCCAAGGTGCTGAACTCGGAGCTGTTCGCTTGTAGGGCGAAAATAATTTTCTGACGAAATATTGATTTTTGTTTCTCTTAATTTCGTTAGCCAGATCTAGTTTGACCCTAATTAATCTCCTAATGATTTTATGGGAAGCATGGTGGCAACCAGTGTTAGAAGGTGAGGCGGTTTCTGGATGTAAATCAGGGTCAAGGGGAGATTAAATTTAATTTTTGTGAATGTAAAAAAAGAAAGGGAAAAAAGGTGTCTTGGCACACCACACGTGCTCATTCAGAGGCAGATATTAGCAATTAAATTTGGCATCGATGATAAACTACAGGTAAGCTGCACATTTCAAGACGTCTTAAAAAGCGAAATAAAATCAAAACATAATTTCTTTCAAAACAAAAAACGATTTTCTGTCGAAGTAGCACATTTATAGAGATCAAACAGCATATTTTTTATATTTTAATATTTGTATTTGTAGCATTTTTATTATTACAGTAACTCCTACTCCTTCTATTAAATTAAAGATTGTAAAAGTCCACCTGCAATGCTCCACAAACTAACATCACGTCAGCATTTGTCTTTAAAGACCTTTAGACTGTTTTTATTCTCGGCCTGTCTTTGTCACACATCTGCATGATGCTACACGACGAGAAAAAACTGTAAAAAAAAAAAAAAAACATACTGAGAAAAAACAAGTGACCGGGGCCGGAAACCACCATGAAGCTAAGACACCCACATATCACAACCTTTGCTGTGGAGAGAAAACATATCGGCCGTGAAATCATCTTACAATAACCGTGTAAAGCGCCGGGTGCCTCATGCGTAATCCCCACACACAATACTGCGTGCAAAACCAAGCTCACTGACTCTGCACCGTGGAGGCGCGGACACGCACATTTTAGAGGGGTTTTTATGTACTACTCTTAGTACCTTTGGCATTTCTGTGATTTTAATTTTAATTTCAAGGAGGAGAAATAACTAACTCAGTGAAAATTAGCTTTTTTTTAAAAAAATCTTTTTATTTTCAGTATTCATTCGTTTATTTTGCGAAGAGTAAGAACAGATAACCTCATCGAAATATTCGGTCCTTATTACAGAAGCTTAAATAACCCAGTGCGCACACTGTTACACACAGAGGAACATTCCGGCACAGACACAGCTTGGACTGGCTTTGTGTCTCCTCGGCGAGGTAATTCTCATAGAAAGGGTAGAAGAAGGCAGTGAAATTATTATGAAAGGGTGGCCTGTGTCTCGGACTTTAAAATGGGAAAGCATTTTAAATATCCAGAGATAAGTGGTGGGTGGGTGAAGCCGAGCGGGATGGCTTTGGAGAGAGAAGTGGTGCTGAAAGGAAAGCAGCACGATTCTTGGCAACGACAGGGCGTTCGCCATCCAGCTTCA